TTAAGTAATGTTTTACAGATTTTATAAAGAAAATTTAAAATGGAGTATTAAACTTCTACTAAAATGAATTCCACTTAATATTAAAAATAAATAAACAATATAATTAAATGTGCTCGTTGTTGTTGTTACATACTTATTTCAATAATATAATTTATTTTATATTTTATTAATAACTTAAACTTATAAAAAAAAATGAATTAAAAAATACTACTGTAATAGATATTTAGTTGAGTTATGTGTTTTTATAAATGTTGTGAAATTTAATTTTTTGTCAATGTATTTCTGAACTATATAAAACAGTATGTTTAATTTTTCTATGACTGTTGCTGCCTTTCTATACTCCTTTAAATATTTTATATTAACTTAAACTACTTTTATAAAACTAAATATTATTTGTAATAAAACAACACAAATATACATACTGGCCGTATAATTTACAAACATAATTATTTAAATTTTTATATTTAATATAAAAAAATTATCCAAGAAACCATATAAGTTATTTATTTTATACAAAACATCATGTGGTAATGTGATACAAGTTAATAAAAATTCAAATTTATACTATATGTCCCAATACTATATGTTACTAATAGCATATGAATTAATCATTGTACATTCATAAATTATTTCTCAATAAATATTAAATTGGAATTCAACGAATATATCATTAAACAAAATTTCAGTTCAATTAATTCATATAAAATAAAATGTTACCATTAAAATCATTATTACTTCAAGGGACCTTTAGACATAGTACATAGAATATTTTATTCAAAAATAAGTTACTGATTCGATCAAATGAAACTGTGCATCAAGAATATATATATAGCAAATAATTTTTGCAGTTTTTATAATTATTTCTTACATTCCATTTTAGTACATTCTAATGCTCATCATTATTTTCTACTTCCATCTGAAATTTCCAACTTTTCCCAATCAAAAAAAGATATTTTTAGCTATCTGGTATAGAGTGTATTACCAACTACTCGTCCTTTGCTTAATGATAATGATTCGTGATCATATTTTTTAGTGATTTAATTTGGATCAGATGAATCTTGGTATTACTGCGAAAATATTGTTTTAGCGAAACTAAAAGCATCATTGTGTACTAATATCACAATGCTATTGATATGCATTGTTAATCTAACTTTTCATTTGAGTGAACCTAATTATGTCTAAAGTACTATTTTTTCTTATATTAATAAAGTAACCATGTGAGTATTATGCATAGGATGTTTCATTTTGCTATAGGTTCATAGTTCAATATTGAACATGAAAAAATTGTCATTTGTACCCAGCTTACCAGCTTAATATGTTTAATGCTTTTAAATGCCCAGTTTGATACCTTAAGATGTTTTATCATGGTTTTAAGGTTTCCACAGAAATGTAACTAAACCTGGGAACTTATCGTTCTCCAGGAAACTTGTTATTGTTTTTCTTGCAGCAATAATTTATATCCAGTTGATCAGATTGAAATATACAAAATAATTTGCTAATCAATTTCTTCTATAATTTGAAGATAGTATATTATTTAAAATAGATTCAGATAAATAAGGCGAGATTTATTTAAACATTACATGTATAGATCACTTAATATATCAGTTATTAGTTAAGTTTTTTGTTTTATAAATTTAGAAATTGTTGCCTTTAATAAAGATTTACTCCTGTAGTATATGCAGTCAAGCTTATAGACTAAATTATATCGATTAAAAAGCATCATATTATTAGCTTTTATTCCTCTCCTTTATTAAGTAATAATCTATACTAATATATTTAACATTTAAATTCACCTTTTGTTTATAGTCTTAACTTGACGAAGGCTTGGTTTTTCCTATAATTATTTTATTTGTAAGGTTCGAATAGATTTTCAACGAGCTTGAGTTAATAGGTAAAAAAAGGTAGATGACATATATTTTTTTTTTGTAGTTATAATCGAGTACAACATATCGTATATCTTTGAGTATAATAATTTTTTTTCGACATTTCTAATAATGTATCCTTTAAATAATCAATAATAAATCTGAAATTTTATTCCTTAAATTTCATATCACTTGTGGCAAGCAAACTTGCTTTAGGATAAGTTATGAAAAAAAACAATGTTAAGCAATATTTTAAAATCGAATTGGTGTAGTTCTTGTAAAGCAATGGAGAGTCTAACATTAATTCATCATAATTAAATATAAGATCATAACTCATAATTCATATATTCTCGCAAGAAACCTGACTTATTTGAGCTCTGATCGACTTGTCATGTTCTATACTTCTTCTCGTAAGTCCGATATGATGTCTTTATATTATTGCAAATATATTGTAAATGGCACAATATAAGAAAGAAAAATTAATATTATATGTTAAAAATACCACACGTCTTAAGCTTTACCAGAGCTGATATGTGTATGAACATTTCTCACAGAAAACATGATTGGATGAGCTAATGCAAACTTCATTACCGATCATTACCTAAAATGATATTTATTTATTTCTTCTTTATCACAGCTACACCTGCTCTTAATTTTGGTCAAAATTTCTAACTCTCACGGAAGCTATAAACTAATCGTTTATACTAACTATACGATATTATTTTATTCGCTGTCTCTTTTCGCTATTTTTGGTTCTCTTTTCTATTAAACAATACTACACTGACAAAAACAAATAAAAAATCAAAATTATTTTCTAATTAAAAATTAATTGCATGAATGATTTTGTATATCTGGTTTGCTCTGATTATATAATTTTTTAATCTATATTACTTCTTATTATTATAGCTTCTAAAGCTTACATTTGTATTGCCTTTTTAAGTTTTTTGGTTTTTCTTCAGATTTATTTTTAAATTGACACTGATTTTTCAATAAGTTTTTTTATAATTTGGTTATTGACAAACAGTAAATTTAAAACATAAATTTATGAATTTATGCTTCAGTTAAACTAAACCGTCCAAAACTAAAGCCTCTAGCTATACGTTCTTCCAAATTGAGCTAATAAAATTTAATTATTATACCAAATATGTGTTACTAATGTATATATTGCAATTGTTTGCAAATTTTATTTTCTTTCTATTAGATGACGCTGAAGATGGGCGTGAAACAGCTATTTCCGTCTCCAGCTGCAGTCCACATCCTGCAGCTGAGTTGCACGATGAACCAATTGTTAAGTCACCACCAGAGCCTACACGTGTTAAATCGCCCGAACAAATAATAATGCGCTCTCCAGACCCAGTTAACTGGACTGTGCCATTGGATACAGGGAAAACATTTACCGTTACACAAAATGTCAAAGAGGGTACTATTTCATATATATAAGAATAATTAAAAATTATATATAAATATTATTATTTAACTCTTTATAGGTGAAAACTATAGCCGACCACAAAGTGAAATAAAAGCTTCGACACCAGTTGAAAAGCCACCACCACCACCACAGTCGGCGCCACCAGAATTAACCGAACAGGTTAAAATGGATGGTAAGCTTTAAGAACGCTTCAAAATTCCATTAAAATAAACCAAAAAACAAGCTTTTTAAAAAATTCGCTACTCATCATCACATCAGTTAATAAAAATTAACAAATTAACAAATTAAATCAAAAATACAAGATACCAAAGAAAGCCTTTCGTAACACTTTCAAAACTTTCCCCCCTTTTGCGAGCACAGCCTGGAAAAATGCCGATCTAACTGATCCGAAATCGTCGTTGAGCAGCTCTAGTCCAACTTCTGCCATTGGCAAAGTAATTACAACAAAGCAGCCAACTGCCGGCGCTGGTGGTTTGCCGCCACCACCACCACCGCCTACAACAACTGCAACAACAACAATTATTGAAAACCCAGTACAAGGTTCAAAATTACGTTGTCTCGATGATCCAATATTTGATGTGGATGCTAATGTTGGTATCGGTACCGTTGGTGCTGGTATCACTACATTGCCATCCTCATCGAATCCGAATCCGAATACGAATCCAAGCAATACAACAACGACTGCTCGCAGCACTGCTAGCGATGTTTTGGAAAAGGCTCGTGACCGTTTCGATCGCTTTTGGGGTGGTAACAAAGAGGATAAAGTTTAAGCAATTAATATTTGAAATTTTTATACTAATCTTACAGGTATTTAGTCGAAATCATTATAAATACGATTACCAAGATTACGCCTACTAATTGACACTAAACACTAGAAACACTTATCGAACACCAAAACTCAAGAAATGCAAACACAAAACCACAGTTCAAGCAAATATAATACTGAAAAATGTAAGCAATGATTACAGCCATTATTAATTAATTATTAATTAAAACAGTAAGTAATTAAGTTTTAAACTCAAAACTCTTTACTAAATACTAAGAAACAGTAAATTAAATATAAATTCTAAGATATAATTCAAATAAATGAAATACATATAACTGAAGACGCGATAGCGCTACTAATAAACAGGGTAGCCGCAACTAAAATTAAATTCTAATAATTTGTTTAAATAAATAATCATAAATAATTAATTTATAATAACAATTAAATCAATTTAAATGATTATATTCTTTTTCAATAAAATTTAGTATAGATAGAAAAGCATGGGCTATCGTTTAGGATCTCAGGGCAGTTTAGAAAATACTTCATTAAGCTTCATTAATAAAAATTTAATTTCTCACAGAAAATGTTTCAGGTTATATTAAAAGTTTATATAAAACAATAAATTATTTACTTTTGTTACTGAGTACAAATTTACCATAAATCACTACAGTAGAATATTATTCTTTTTTCTATTTATCGAAGCACTTATTATAGCTTGGTTGCATCATTCGGCGGATGAAGGTTTTATATTAAACCATATGTACTATATAATGTTGGTTTGTACAAGTGTACATAAATGCAAGAAATCGTTCACTTTTCTGGCTTTATTATTTTAATTCAATGCAAATATTGCACAGTCTAGTATGGATTGGACCCAATGAGTGCAGTGATATGCAACTTAAAAAGAAACATTTTTAAAATGTTGATGAGTAAATAAATAAATTTTATTATAAGTGGATGGTGTAGAAATCTAACAAAATATGGTTCAACATAAAATTATGTGTTAGAAATAAATTAAAAATTGTATTCAGTTTACTACACTGTTCAGGAGTAACTACAACAGCTTTGGAATGGAGTTTGTTACACTTATTTAATTAAATAGACTATGCAGCAATTGGATTGTATTAAACCGATGTTCAATACCCTACATTCAATACAATTAAATATGATTTTAAATTATTGTATGAATTGACTTCGACTTCTTCAATGTTTTGAACAAGTTTTTGGATTTCAGATGTACGAAAAATTCATTATTGATGCAGATGCAAACCTTTCGACGCGTCTTTGTATCTCCTGCTTAACTGATGGAATGTTAATGTCTATGTATTTTTCAGTACTTCTAACACACAATATAGCTTTAATGACATCTTAAAGTATTTTTTTTATAACCATTATATTATGGTTTCGCTAGTCTGGCTAGTATATCCCTAGAGTGAGGCACCATAATACTTACCTAAACGGGAAATTTGTTGTGTCTATATTGTAATCAGATTTAGATTTTTAGTAATTGCTATATCAAGAAATAGTAGGATCAAGTATTCAACAAGTTGGCTCGCATATGTCATTGGGTTCTTAGGAATATTATATAGCAGAGACTGGTACTCTTTGTATATCTGTCATGATTTAAATAAAATAAACATTTATCTTCAAAAAATACAAAACCGACTTATTCAAGAGTAATATAAAATAAAATAAATTTTATCTCTGCCTACCTATAGATAGCATTATGTTCTACTGACTGACTAATATTATTTATTTTATTATATACCTTTTTTAAATTATGTACTCAGTAGTTTTGATTTGATGAAACTTTTAGTTTTTGCAAATACCATCAAAAGCTATAGCGACATGAAGACCCGTCCAAAAAAAATTATATATTAAACAAATTTAGATACAATAAGCATATACAAATTTTTGTATTGTCATTTCGAGCATATACATACATAGTACTAACAGTTTACATATATATCGAAATAAATTATGAATAGTAAAGCAAATGTTTCAATAGAGATTGATTCGAATTTTCGTCAAATTTAGACTTTTGCACAGTATTAAAAAAAAAATTTCTTGGTATTCTGATTTAATTAATATTTTGCAGATAAACTAATGCTCATATTAAACAAAAAAATATTATGTTATATAATAAAATAAATTATAGAAGAAGAAAACAATATTAAAAGAATTATGATTACAAAAAGTAATATATTTTAGTCAAGAAAATGTTTGTAAAAAATTCATAGTATTATTTATATTTTCCACATACTTTACTAAAACATTTATTTCATTTCGTTGATTAAATTAAATATTTGACTACATTCAAAATTTTTTTATTTATATTTCAAATATAAATATCGTACAGATGAAAAAGTTGTAATCAGAATTTTTGTTCAATACAATATATTGAATATATATTTTCGATTTTTAATTGGAAATAATTGCAGTAATATGAAAAATATTAATACAAAATAACAATTGTATTTTTAACAATGCATTACTCTACTATATACAATTTATTTTAGTCAATATAACATAAATGGTTTTTAAAATTGATTTTTAAATCATTTTTAATAATTTCCACTATAATTTGTATATATCGATATGATAAAAATATTTATGATTTTTGATTCTTCAGAAAACATTCTTGCAAGCATATTCTTAACTAATAGTATATTAAAATAAAAATCTGCAAAAACTGTATAACTCAAATAACAAAAAATGTGAAGTGCATAATAAAAACGTATATAATAAACTTAAATGCAAAAATAAAGAAATAATATCAATTTAAAAATTGAATACTAAATCTGCATATATTTAAAAAATAATAATAAATGAAGTAAAATAGATTAACTAAAATAAATTCAAAGGCGGCTAAAATAGATACATTTTTCTAAAATCAATTAATATATATTATAAAACAAAAGATTTTTTCAATAAAAATAATATTTGTTTTAATACAAAAATTATTTATACGTATATAGTATATAGAATGTATTAAAATAATTAAAAATCGTGCTTCAGCCAATCGTATAAAATACGCTTTATTGTGTTTGTTGTAATTTTTGCCAAAAAGAAGTGACAACATTTTTTATAGTGAGACATTTAATTCATATTATTAATAGTTTATAAATGAAAAAAAATTTAAATGTTTTAGCAAATTTAACAGCTTTGATTATTTACTTTTTTACAAATTAATCACTTCAGATTAATTGCTGAAGGAAGCATTTAAAGCTTTGCTAATGCTACTTTGATGAAGCTTTTATATATAACATATTAATTATTATTTAACAATTAAATATTTAAAAAAAACCCTCAAATTTATTTTTTAAAATATATAATTTTTTTAAATTAATGTTAACGTTGTAGTAATCATTATAATACATAGTATAAACAATTGTGTCATTAAATTTAATGTTAAATGTTATGATATTATTTTTATTGCCAATAAGTTATTATATATTTTTATCAATCTAATGTATATTACTTAATATAATTTAAGTTTATATTTTACATTATAAGTTTCATTTATTTATAAGTTGTATAGAAGAATTGATATAAAAGTAATATTCTTATTGATCCATGAGTAATTTATAGTTATATGTAATTATAAGAGAAGAGAACAGGAAGGTCACATGGCAGTATTAAACTCTATATTCAAATAAAAACAATAATTATATAAAATAATTCTGTAATAATAATTGATTTTAAATTCAAATTCTTCTTTCTAATATTAGAAATTGAAGTTAAAAGTTATCACAAAGTTTATAAATTTTAAAATGATATCTTGTGTAATATTTTGAGATTTCTTAATTGTACTTTAAAAGAGTATTTGTCTATTTTTTAATTGAGTACTATTTAGTATATATAGTGAAAAATATGTATTGGAAGACGCTTTTACATTCATGAACTTTTTATATTATATATTTCATATAATTTCCATGACTATAATAATTATTTTCAACTTGTTTCAACTGAGTTGGACTCAGTACATATGAGACGTAGCTTAAAAAAACCCAGTGGGTCGGGCAAACAGGCTACCTACTCGCTCAAACGGTTACTCTCACAAGCTTCGCATTATAGTCAGAAAGAGGATGACTTCTCTCAAAGTTCTATCAAGGCAAATCAAGTTTCATTAAAAGCGAGCGGTGACTTAGCATCAAGTATATCAAAAGCAATACTGAAATACTTTCAATGTTATATATTGGAATCATTTTATTCACCGAACAGAAGAAAATAGTATGATTAAACATTATAACAGTGGTAATAATTCTTTATAATATGGACCCCGATGGATGTTAAAAATCTACTATTCATTATCTCTGTACGAAAATATATTCTTTCCTGTTCTCTCTGTTCTTAACATTTTTGTTTAAGTAATACATTTTAAATAAATTAATTTAATATATTAATTCCACTAAATATTTTGTAATGATTTGTAAAATATATATATATTTTTATTTCAAGTTAAAGTTTCTTACTGCTTTTTGAAAAATACTACTAATTTTTTATTAATTTTTTTATAAATAAAAACTTTTAATTTTTAATTCATTATTCAAAAAATTAGTATCTACACTAATTAAGTTCGTAAGCAAAAACTAGCCTTATTGCAAAATGTATCAAAACAGTTTGAATTTATGTATTAAAATATAATTATTTTTGCATTTAGCAATAAAAAATATATATGTCAATGTTTTGTTTGCATATGCATTTATATATAATTGGTTAAAAATTTATATAAGAATATATTTCCAGCTAATAGTTTAGTCAGTATTATTCAATGTTAATAATTAATTAAAAAAACACTAAAAATAGGAGCTATATATAATTCATATAAAGCTTCGAAAAAAATACGAATAATATAAATGATTATATATAAATTGTTAGCGCTTTTGTAAAATTGATTTATTATATATTCATTTAAAAGTAATAATATATATTTATATAATTTGCTTAATGTTATTCATGCATATATATATATAAAATTGTTATAAACAAGTAATTTTTATAATAAAATTCTGATAATAAAAAACCAATAAAATTGAAATTAAAAAAAATGATTAAAATTTTTATATATATAATTTTTTACGCACTTTCAAATATTAACTAAAAATTGTTAAATTTCTCTATAAACTTTTAAAAGCACATACGAAATGAAATCAATAAATAGGTTATTCAATTAAAATTAAATAAAAATAAAATCTATTATCTATCTCTCAAGCTGATATAAAATTTAGTTAGTTTAACTGAATTAACAAGAAGAAACTGTTAAATAAAAATTTAATTTCTTAAAAAATTTTATAAAAAAACAATAAAGACAACAAATAAAGTTTAAAAGAAACTTATATTATTTCAAAATGAAAATTAATTATTATTTATATATTAAACACTGCAAACTAAAATGAAGTAATTAAACTAGTTGAGGAGTATATATAATTGATGTAAGTTAATTTAGCTTTGTGATTATGACGGCTAATATTATTTAATATTAATTAAAAAAAAAATAAAAAACTAAAACAGATAATATAGTTTAAAAAAATTCAATAAATGGCGTGCAAATTTTTATTAAAAAATATTCATTTAAATAATAAAGCATTAAATTTACATTAAAAATACATACAATTTAATTGTCTAAATTGCATAGAAGTAATTTTTTACAAAATCTTATTTAAACTGCAAATTATAAAATAATAAAAATCTTATTAACAGAAAATCATTGATTTAAAATTGATTTATAAAAAAGAACTTATTTTTATTAGTATATTAAAATGAAACAAAAAAAAATAAATAAAATTGTGCTTACATGATACATATATATAAAATAAATCTTATATATATATAAGAATAATTATTAATTAAGAAAATAAGTGCAGCTTTTAACAACAATAACAAGAACAAGAACTTATAGATAAACTAAAAATCTCTTGCATTCAAAGTTTAAATACAAAAATACAGCACATCTTGAGCGTAGTAAACTATAGAAGATTGCAGGGGAGGAGCAGTAAATCGACAAAAAAATAAGAATATTATTATATTATGTAACGTATTAAAAATGGAAAAGGAAATTTGTACGAATTTTAATTCGATTTCACAAAAAAAAACAACATATATAAAAATTTATTATAATAAATTTTATGGTAATGAATGGATGAATAAATATAAACTTGAGAAATGCATAAACGTTTCCAATAAAAATTGAAATTGTTTTATTTTTATATAGAATAAAAGTTTCTTAAACAAATGAAAGTACTTTTTTTAATATTTTTCTATTATTGTATTATATTTTTTTTATGTTATTATAAAAATCATTATCACATTTGCTAAATTATAATCAATTTTAATATACTTTTTTTTAAAATTTTATTATATTTATTATTTTATTATATTATTATATTTCTTTAAATTCTTTTTACACACTCATATAATTATTAACAGGAGTGCGGACAGAAGAAGCATTTATTATTTAATTAATAATTAATAGAGAGATTTTAAACAGTAGTAAATTGCAACAACAAAATTTTTTTGTATTCTTAATTTATTGAATTTGCTGCTTTCAGTATTGTAAATACCATTATCGTACCCTTCCGAATTTGAAACTCAGAGTCAGCGGTTACTAGCCCAAAGCTGTGTTTGACTTGTATGTTCAAACGTGCAGTTTTGTTACTTTGCTGTGAAAGTTCATTAACAAATTCATTTGCTATGTTATGCTAAAACGAAATCATAAACCAGCTGTAGAATAAATTAATTAATTACTTATAGTTATGTTTAAATGTTAAATTTCAATACTATTCTTTTGTAGAGGCAATGCTTTTTGCATGATTTTATATTATTAAGCCTAGAAACTGAATAAATTAAATGCAATTAACTAACAATAAATAAAATAATAAATAAATATATGTTTGTTGTTGCAATTCAGTACTGTTCG